ACAGACCCAGGCCACTTTGTCTGTGCATGTTTTTAGGTAATGGGGATTGAGCCCAGGGATGCTTTACTGCTGAGCTACATCCCCAGTTCTCTATTTTTTATTTTTGAACCGTCTTACTGAATTGCCCAGGCTGACCTTGAACTTGAAATCCTCCTGCTTTGACCTCTTAAATGCCTGTTACCACAGGCCTGTGCCGCTGTGCCTGGCTGGCAGGGCCCCGTGCAGGCTAGACAAGGCTCTGCCCTGAGCGACACCCCAGCCCTACCACTGAATTTTTATGCGGCCGACACCGCCCTAAAGATTGTCATGCCACAGACTCTCCTCCCACAGTTTTCTCAGCATAAATTGTGAAGCAATAAAGTAGCTGCCCAGAGAGCCAGGTAACAGGCTGTAAGCCGCTCATGTTTACCCCGCTGTGGACGGAGAACTTTCTTGGGGCAGGCACCGTTCCAAGGGCTTTCTATGAATTCGCTCATTTAATCCTCTCAACAACCCCGAGAAATGAAACTGTCATGCACCCATTTAAAGATGGAGGAAGGAGCCAGGCTTCCTGCAATCCCAGTGGATCAGGAGGCTGAGGCAGGAGGATGGAGACTGCAAAGCCAGCCTCAGCAACTCAGCAGATTCTAAGCAACTCAGGAGACCTTGTCTCTAAATAAAATACAAAAAAGGGCTGGGGGATGTGGCTCGGTGGTTAAGTGCCCCTGGGTTCAATCCCAGCTACCAAATCATCATAATATTAGTAGTAGTAATAAATAATAATGACAATAATAAAGGGGAGGAAGCCAGGGCACAGGAAGGGACAGAGCTCAGACCTCTCAGACATCATCAACAGCAGGTAAGGCCTCCTCACCAAGCATGGAATTGCCTTAGGAGTGACCCAAAGAATTAAAAACCACTGCTGGAACAGAAGCCTGTAGGACTGGAGAGGGGCTCCGTGGTGGCGTGCATGTCTAGCACGCACGAAGCCCCGGGTTCCAGCAAGGGCCCTATTCACAGTCTCTAAAAGGTGGAACAGCTCTCGAATAACCATCAATTGATGAACAAATTCTAGAAGTACCACGAAATAATATTCAGTCATAAAAAAGGAATGGGGCACTGGCATGTGATAGAATATGAATAAACCCTGAAAGTCTCACCTGAAAGAAGGCCAACGTGAGAGACTAGTGTTCTGTGTTCGGTTTTTATGAACTATTCAAAAAAGATCAATCCACGAGAACAGAAAACAGATCAGTGTGGGGTCTCCTTTGGGGCTATGAGAATGTTCTGTGTATAGATCACGCTCATCACTACACAGCATAGCCAACGTCTAAGACCCCGTAACTGAAGGTGGGCAAGACCAAGTGCCTGCAGCACCCTATCCATAGCCATCACAAGGGCCACCACCTGATGGCTAAATGTCACCAATGGTCAATTTTGTCGTATTTTCCTATTGAAAAAAAAGAGCAAGATAAGGACTTGAACCAGGGTTGGGACCTCTCTGCAGCCTCTGCCCTTGGTCACTATTTTGATGCTTCCCATTTCCACAGAAAGCTTCGTCTCCTTAGCCCCATGTTACAGAACAGGAAACTGAGGCAGGGCTAGGAAATGGGGTTCCAACCTGGCTCTGCCCATCAGGTCAGTGAGGTTACCCCGCCTGCCTCCACCCACACACAGCTCCTGGCCTCCGCGGTGACTGCAGGGTCCCCAGCCCTCCCCACCAGGGACACTTTAGGCTGGATAATTCCCTGTCAGGATCCATCGTGTGCCCTGTAGGGTGCCACCCTGTGTGCCAGCAGTACCCAGGGCTGTGAGAACCCAAACTGTCTCCCAAATGACCACTGTGCACTCAGTGACTCAACTTCCTTTTATGTCACTCAGTCAACCGCTGACCTGAAAAGCAGAATTCTTTCAAAGATTTGAGAGTGAGGGTTGGGAAGACCCATGTAGTCCCCGCAGAGCTCAGGGCTGGGCGTGCCCTTAGTGGAAGAGGGCTCCATCCCCAGCCCCGCACACCCGCACGCAGCAGGAACCCATCATGTGGAGGCCAAGCAGCCAGTCACCAAAAACACACGGCAGATCCCACTCATAGGAAACACCCAGCCTAGGTGGACCCACAGGGACGGGTGAGTGGTTGGTGGCAATTGTCTGGGACAACAGGGTAGCTGCTAATGCACGGGGGTTTAAGAGGTTGAGGGAGGAAGGAAATGTCCTAAAATTGACCGAAGTGATGGTTGGTGCAACCAACGGCCACGGAACTGCACACGCGTAACACGGGTGGATTGTGTGCTAGGGAATTTTTTTTTTTTAAAGTTTGAACTCCCCACCAGAGCTCTTTGTCACTGTTGTTTTGGTTTGGGTTTTGGTACTGCGGATTGAAGCCAGGGGCGCTTAACCACTGAGCCACATCCTCAGCCCTTTATTCTGTATCTCGAGACATTTTCTCACTAAATTGCTGCGGCTGGTCTCTATTTTGCAATCCCCCTGCCTCGGCCTCCTGAGTCACTGGGATCATGGCTACTCCAGCGACTGCACCTGGCCCCTTTTAACAGGGAGCCACTGCAGGCTGAATTCCCCCAAGCAGGCCTGTTACTATTTCAAAACTCACGTTCCCTAAGGGAACCCTAAGGGAACCCTCGGCCGACTCTCACAAACACACCCAGCCGAGGTCTTCCTTGGCCACTCTGTGCCAATGCTTTTCTTACATGTTCAGGGGCTAATCATTCAAAAACCAGCCATGACAATGGAGGGCAGGTGTGCCAGCTACCACATCAGGTGGAGTGGCCCTAGTGATGGAGTGCTGCAGGCTCTTGGTTCTGCCCACCTTCAGTTACAGGATCTTGGACCAACTCCCCTGGGGAGTGTCAGGAATTCACATTCGTTCTCTTCAGGGGGAAAAAAGTCAGACTTTACCCATATTTTTATTGCATATTGCACTGATGCAAATTTGCATTGAAAATGACAACCCTAGTCTGCGGGACTCCAAAGCCGGGCTCCTGTCCTGGCCTCCTGCATCTGCACCTCCCCCAGCCCTCCTGGGCCCGTCTCACCTCAGCTTGAATGGCACTGAGGGGACCCCCTGGGCTGGGAAAACATCAAACAACTACTCGAAAGGACATGGTAAGGCTTTCACAAGCATTTGCAGGTGGACAAGGAGCAGAGCTCAGTGGGAGAACACTTGGCTAGCATATGGGAGGCCCTGGGTTCCATCCCTGGCCCTGGGGGGAAAAAAATTATATATATGTATCATGCCTCCCTGACCACCTTACTCAGGAATAATGAAACTCACATGAGAAGGATCAGAGACTGGGGAGGCCAAATTTGACTGTTTTATACAGCCTCCTAGCAAAGAATAGTGTTTTTTTTTTTTTTTTAAATGGAATTTTAATTTTGAGTGGGTTATACGTTCACACAGTATAAATTCAAATTATAAAACAATTTATAATGAAAAGAAGTTTCTTTTTAAATTTATTTTTAACTGATACATAAGCATAAAAATTGTACATATTATCACAAGTCTGTGATCCCAGCATCTCGGGAGGCTGAGGCAGGAGGATTGCAAGTCTGAGTCCAGCCTGGGCAACTCAGTGAGACACTGTCTCAAAAAAATTTTTTTTTAAATTTTTTTATTGTTGGTTGTTCAAAACATTACATAGTTCTTGATATATCATATTTCACACTTTGATTCAAGTGGGTTATGAACTCCCATTTTTACCCCGTATACAAATTGCAGAATCACGTGTCTCAAAAATTTTTAAAAAAGTGGAGCTGGAGATATAGCTCGGTGGTAGAGCAACCCTGGATGTGATCCCTAGTACTGCCCCCAAAAATGTGCATATTAAACTAAAATGTGTTAGAGAGGTAATATGATGTTTTGGTTTTTATTTTTGTTTTCATTATAAAAATGGAGCTGGAGATGGAACCCAGGGCCTCAGGGACATTAGACAAGTACCCTACTATGAACTATCTCCCCAAAGCTACTTTTTTGTTTTTCAATGGTTTGGGGGGAAAAGGCAAAAGAATTCGATTTCCTAGCACATGAAAACTATACAAAATGATGCCAGGCACGGTGGTGCATGCCTCTGATCCCAGTGACTCAAGAGGCTGAAACAAGGGGGTTGCAAGTTTGAGGCCAGCCGCAGCAACTTAGTGAGACCCTAAGCAATTAGTGAGATCCTTTCTCAAGATAAAAAGTGGAAAGGGCTGGGGATATGGCTCAGTGGTTAAGCACCCCTGGGTTCAATCACTGACATCAAAAAAAAAAAAAAAAAAAGGAAAAGAAAATTATACAAATTGACATTTCAGTATCCATTCATAAGTTTGTTGGAGTATCACCACTCCCTTTCACTGTCTTGTCTGGCTGTAGAGTAGCAGTCAAGTGATTGCCATAGACTGGAGAGTCACCCAAATCCAAAATATTTACTATCTGTGTCTGTCTAGAAAAGGTATACGGGCCCCTGGTATAAACAATAAAATAGTACATTCTGTGTAAATATCAGCTATTATCTCTTTTCCCCTTTTTAAGGGCCTTCCTAATATACAATTCCTAATATACAGCTCCCATATTTTTGAACTAGTGGATATTTATTTGAGAGAATGCATTTACTTTGGAGATTTTTGTAAAGTTAGGGCTGGGGTGAGGTAGGTCAGTGGTAAAACATGTGCTTACCATGCTTGAGGCCCTGGATTCAATTCCTAGCACAAAAAGAAAGGGGTGAAAAAATTCCCCATGACAGACAGAGGAGAGCTCCTCTTGTTTTGCTCTTGGAGGTGGGATGGGACCCAGGGCCTGGGCTCACCAGGCCAGGGCTCTGCCCCTGGGCCACATTCCCGCCTTTACCTCCATGCAACTGCCGTGGGAGCTGTTCAGGGGTTGGTTTTGCAGAACTGGAGATTGCACTCGGGGTCTTGGAAATGCTAAGCGAGTGCTCTGCCTCTGAGCTACACCTCTAGCAACCTTGGAGAGTTTTAAACCGGGAGTGATCTGATCAGATTTATACATTTAAAAATCTCTTTGCTAGGTGGAGGTTTGGCCTTAGAGGCAAGAAGATCAATTAACAGCCTTTGGCAACTATGAAAGATAACAGAGGCATGAAGGCAAGGAAAGTAAGAGTGACCTGCCTACCTAGGACTCTCTCCCCCCATCGCCAAGACACCTTTTCCTGGGTAATTCCTTCCAACTTTTTTTTCTTTGCTGTTCTGGGGAACCCAGACAGGCTTTACCACTGAGCTGCACCCCAAGCCCTTTTTATTTTTCGTATTGAGGCAGTGTCTCCTAAATCGCTTAAAGCCTTGCTAAATTGCTGAGTCCAGCCTGGAATTTGTGATCCTCCTGCCTCAGCCACAGGAGTTGCAGGGATCATAGGCATGCACCACCACACCCAGCTCAGACCTGTTTTTCACCACAATGCTCGGACCCAAAGTAGCCATTCTAGCCCAGCAATATGCAACCAGAATTATAATGTGAAAATTATAATCTGTAACTTAATTTTTTTTTTGCGGTCATTCCAAAAGTGACTGTGCAGATCCACTCCTCAGGATCCTGCCAAGAGAATGGAAGGTCGCCTGCCCAGAAACTTGTCCATGAGATCTCACGGCGGCATTGTGTATGGCAGCCCGGGAGGGGAAGCAGCCCAAAGTCCATCAACCGACCAGTGGTAAAGAAAATGTGGCCTGTCCAATACTAAAACACTGTTCAAGCCATTAAAAGGAATGAAGTACTGAATTATGCTACAATATGAAACAAAGCTAGAAACAAAGATCAGATTTCCTCTGTAGGAAATGCACAGAATAGGAAAATACACACACACACAGCTCAGACTAAGGGTGGCCGGGAGCGGGTGGGGAAATGGGAAAGAACGGCTCATGGGTACAAGGCTTCTTTTGGGGGTGATGAAAAATGTTCTAGAAGGGCCGGGGGTGTGGCTCAGTGGTAAAGCGCTTGCTTAGCTCCCCTAGCTGAGGACCTGGGTGCCCACCTGCCGTCCCAGTGATCCAGGAGGCTGAGACAGAAAGATTACAGGTTCCAGGCCAGCCTGGGCAACCTAGCCAGACCCTGTCTCAAAGAATACAGAGGGCTGGGGACATAGCTCCGTGCTAAAGCGCCCCTGGGTTCAATCTCCAGTACCAAACAAACAAACAAAAACATCACTTTATCATATATTGGACATTAACATGTTCCTATTGCCGCAGCCTTGGAGGGGGACTGTGAGGATTAACCAAGGGCCAGGAGTTCAGCACCGGGGGAGGGTCCTGGATATGGTACTAGATACAATGTAGCCGTTTCAATGGTGGGCGCCTCTGCAGCCCAGTCTTGCTGGCTCCCAGGCCAAGGTTTCCCAGGGCTCCAGGTTCGGAAATAAACAGGACTGTGGGACTAGCCAAGCACAGCCACAGTGGGCCTCAGAAACCGAGCCTGGTATCTGACCTGGTCTGCACGGACGCAGAGGAGGGCCTCAGGGTCCCCAAGCACTGCAGGGCTGCAGACCGCAAGCCCACACCCCCTCTGCCCCGTGGGGCAACATCTCCCATGGCCCTCCCCAGAGTGTGTCTCCTCCAAGCCATCCCTCCACGCAGCACCCAGTGCCACCCTGATCCTCTGAGGGCCTGGCTGGACCACACCTCCCGGTAGGCCTTTCCGCCCACCTCTGACCTCAGGGCCCTTCCCGAGGGGCCCTGGGCCTCTACCCTGGGCCTCTTCCATTAACCTCAGTGACTCCCAGCATTGATTGGGTCACCTTGCCAATCTCCCCTGCTGTCCCTTATATTTATTTCTCCTTCACTGGTTTGGTTGCATTTGGAAGCTATTTGCATAGAAGTCTGATTAAAGCATTGATGAGTTTACATGTTGTGTCTGCTGTACTTCTAAATCAGAGTCTTGTTTTTTTTTTTTTTTTTTTTTAATAAAAAGATCAATGATCCAAAGTACAAATGGGGGATTTGGGAACAGAGGTAGGAAGATCTCTGCTGCCTCCAGTTAATTCCTCCTGTCTTAAACACCTCCCACGAAAGGTCCCCAAAGCCATCAGGGAGTCATCTACACCTCAGTCCCATAAATCTGAGTTTCTCCAATGAGGCAGGGTCCCATCTGTGCATTCACTCCCTACCCCAGCACCCAACTCAAAAAATGAGTTCAACATTTTAAAAGTTGATTTCAGCAGGGCGTGATGGCTCACGCCTATAATCCCAGCAACTCTAGAGGCTGTGGCAGAAGGATTGCAAGTTCAAGACCAGCCTCAGCAGATTAGCAAGGCCCTAAGGATTTAGTGAGACTCCATCTCAAAATAAATTTTTTTTTTTAAAATCTGGGGATACGGCTCAGTGGTTAAGTGACCCTGAGTTCAATCCTTGGTACAAAAAAGTGGATTCCAAAGAAAGTCTGTCCTCACATTATTGGAATGTAGCCTCCACGTCTAGGAATTGCCCCAAACTTTGAATTCACAAGGATCGATGTTGCCTAAAGGAAGAAACGGATTGGCTGGTAGGTTTCTGGGTGGCGCCAGGAAGTCTTGTGAACTTTGGTGACCTGAAATGTCAGCCTTCAGCACCTTTGGGAATCAAATGAAATCCTAGGAGGGAAACTGTGAAAATTTTCACGGAGCTAAAACAAATGCCCAGTATTTTACAGTTACCTTAGGTCATTTCAATGGGTGTGATGCCAGGCAACTGCCCCGACCTTGGAAAAGACTTGGGATACAGCGACCACCAAGGGCACATAAGGGATGGTCAGCTCCTCCTGGCCCCTCGGCTTTGGCAGTGTCAATCTCAACCTTTGGCAGTGTCAATGCTGAGAGGTCCCTTAACTATTCTTGTGAGAGCAGATCAAGGTCTGCCCTTCTTTGCTCCCCACCCACCTCGAAGACCCCCTATCCCCACATCCGTAAGTTGCTGGGAATTCCAATTCCGTTTTCATCAATCCAATCTACTTCCAAGAATCACTGTGGAAGGCAAGAAAATGAGACAGATCCAACCGCCAAAGATGCAGCCAAAGGCTTCTGTGCAGAAGACGCACTTGCCAACCTAAAACCTTCTAGAGAAGAAAGAGGCCACCCGGCCCAGCTGTCCTGAGGTGGCCAACCGCGACCACGGCGTCCCTTAGGAACCAGGGATAAAGTAGGAAGATAGGATTTTTAAAAACCTATGGTAAGCCGGCTGTGGTGGCTGAGGCAGGAGGGTTTCTGGAGCTCAGGAGTTCAAGGCCAGCCCGGGCAACAGAGCAAAACCCTGGGTCAAACAAATAAAAAACTCTACCTTGTTTTTTGCTGTTGTTCGTCCAGGAGTAGTTGGCCAGGAGACACAAAGATTGGAAGCTGGTGCTGGGGACATGGGGGGGGAGCTCCTTCAGGCACCTGGGGAGAGGCCGAGAATTTCGTCTTCGGCTGGGTTTGGCGCTCTGCGCTAGCATGGTTCTCCCAGCTGTCCGGAGGGAGCGCCCAGAAGGCGAGGAGAACCTCATGAGTGTGAGTTCCCTGGGGCCTCAGAGACCCTCCTGAGACATCCAGGCAGTGCTAGCAAAGGAAGGAGAGCAATCAGGTCCCACCTCCCATCCCACAGCCCTTATAGCCAGGCCCCCACCCCACCCCCACCTCCCACCCTCCTCCCCTCCCACCGGCTTAAAGGCTGGATCTGGAGTCTGGTATTTGTTTGCATAACTTCTCGGTTTACTTAAGGTGTGGTCCTGGAACAATAGGGAGGACTTGGATGAAGTACTACTCCCCAAGCCTCCACCTTTTTCAAAGTAGAGAGCAAGAACCCTTTCTGTCAAGATGCTCGCTCTCCAAATATTGGCTCTGACACTATTTGATGATTAAATGAACAAATAAATAGACCCACAGTCAATGCATTAAAAAAAAATGCACACATTTCGCCCTGGTTGGATTTCTGCCATTTAGATGCTGTGAATTTCACCTTATGGATTCTTTTTTTAAATTATTGGTTCTTTTTTTTTTTTAGAGAGAGAGAGAATTTTTTAATATTTATTTTTTAGTTTTCAGTGGACACAACATCTTTATTCTATTTGTATGTGGTGCTGAGGATCAAACCCAGCGCCCCGCGCATGCCAGGCGAGCGCACTACCACTTGAGCCACATCTCCAGCCCATTTTTTTTCTTAATTTTCTGTAGTTGTAGATGAACAGCATGCCTTTATTTTATTTATTTTTATGTGGTGCTGAGGAACGAACCCAGTGCCTCACCCATGCGAGGCAAGTGCTCTGCCACTGAGCTACATCCCAGCCCTATGTGTTCTTTTTAGATATACATGACAGTGGAGTGTATTTTGACATATTACATGGAGTATAACTTCCTATTCTTTTTTTTTTTTTTGTACTGGAGATTGAACTCAGGGGCACTCGACCACTGAGCCCCACCCCCAGCCCTATTTTGCATCTTATTTAGAGACAGGGTCTCACTGAGTTGCGTAGTGCCTTGCTTTTGCTGAGGCTGGCTTTGAACTCGAGATCCTCCTGTCTCAGCCTCCAGAGCTGCTGGGATGACAGACAACTTTGCATTCTGTGGTTGCGCATGATGTGGAGAGTCACTGGGCGTGCCTGTGAACAAAGGACAGTGACGATGTCTGATTCATCCCGCTATCTTTCTGCTCCCTTCCCTTCATTTCCCCTTTGTCTAATCCAACCGACTTCCATTCTTCCCTCCCCCACCTCATGTGCTATTCTCCTTCAGGTTTCTCCCACAGCACTGGTAGGGTACTCACCCAGCATGCCTGAGGCCCGGGGTTCAATCCCCAGCATCACAAAAAGAAAACAAAAATAAAAGGATTTTAAAAAATGGCACTTCCCTGCATGTAAATTGATTTTTGTTGTTCAAGGTTGTTTTAAATAAGGTGTCTATAAAGTCACAAGCAACACTGCGCTAGCAAATACCTAACCACTGCTCCTAGTGAGAACCCAAGGTTAGGTTCCTCTGATCCTCTGGTCACATTTTCATATAAGCAACACAACCCTGTTTTATGTGTGTTCCTGTTTAAAGAGACCTTGTTTAATAATGTAATTGATGCACTAATATTAAACTCAGGGCCAACAGCAGGAGAACTAAAGCTTGTCTGACACCTGCATTTTCTTCTTTAGGCACATGGCAGCCTCTTTGTGCTTAGTAACACTAGACAGCACTTGAGCATGACACTAGGGGGACGTTTTAAATAGTGAAATCACCAATGAAAACACACACACACACACAAAGCATAGCACTACATAGATCTGAAAGGGATACTTGTTTACAGAATGAGAAATTTTAACTTTTTGCATGTGTCCATCGCCTGGTTTGACCTCAGCTGGAATCCTATTTGTATCTGATAACCTGACATTCCCCACTACTCTCAATTTGTTCACAAATAATGTCAAAAGTGACACAAGTATTGATTTAGGGATTACGAATAAATTTTGGTGAATAGGCAAATTCACAAATAAAGAACACTCAGTTAATGCAGATTGACTACAACTCAATGAAAAAAAGATTTAAGAAAGCAGCAAGTCAACTGGGCGAGATGGTGCGTACCTGCAATCCCAGCCGTGTGGGAGGCTGAGGTAGGAGGATCTGGAGTCCAAAACCAGCCCCAGGAACTTAGTGAGGCCCTAAGCAACTTAGTGAGACCCTGCCTCTAAATATAAAAAAGGGATGGGGATGTGGCTCAGTGATTAAGCGCCCCTGGGTTCACTCCTCATTACCAAAAAAGAAAAAAATTACCATACAACACATTTTTAGGAAATCA